AAAAAATAAGAGAAGACGGTATACATGTGCAATCATATTACTTTAAAATCTAACACCCCTCGTCAAGCCTAATATACATCCCTCCTTGGAGCTGATTTATACCAAGCGGTGTAGGGTTCCTGCCTAAGCCGGGGGTTGGACTAGAAGGCCTCCAAGGTCCCTTCCAACTCTATTATTCTAGAGTGAGTTTTTGTTTTAATACTAACATTTCAGAATTCCTCGGTCTGGTCCGCTCAGCCTGTCTCCCCATCTGGTGTTTGCGTTTCTCCTGGGGTGGGTAATTCCCATCCCCCGCGCACACTCCCATACACACAGATACACACCAGAATCTCGTACCTGAGGCTGCGCTTTGGCAGCATTTTCCGCGGCTTCCGGCTCGCTTTTCTTTGGGGGAGGACGCTTGCCCCATGAACTCTCGGTGTGTTCTGTAGCCAAAGACATCGAACCAAAGGAATATCAGCAATTCAGGGTTTGGGAACTATCATTGGTGCCGTGATGGGGGGCGGGGGGGAGTGGACAGCCTCCGCCCCAAAGAGGGCCCCAGAGTGAAGCCACCAAATCTCTCGAATTTGGCCCTGCTTGAAGGAGGCATCTTCCAATCACCACCCTCGAAGGGGGTCAGGACCAGGACACCAGCAAAAGGAAGCCCTCCCTCCCGCCATTCTGCAGAGGGTCAGGCTCCATTCTGGCTAAAACGCGCAGCTGGTCCCCGGTCCAGTCTTGAGCTCCCACCTGTGACCAGGGTGGCCATGACCAGGTCGGCGTGGGCCGAGCGGGAGCTGATGAGGTGCTGCTGCAGGAGGTACTGGGCCACCTCCACGATGCTGTCGAAGGAGCGCTTGAGGATCTTCTGGGCCCAGTTGCAAGTCAGGGCGCAGGCCGCCTCCACCACCTTGTCGTTGTACGGGTGGGTGGCCTCTGTTCTCTCCAGCTGCAGGGACACAGAATTGGCCTCAACCGTGGATCGACTGCCACCCACTCCCTCCCTCCCCCCCCCCGAGTCTCCTCAGAAGTGGGCTGGCAAAGGCACACAGGTGTGCACCGCAGCTCATCTCACGCCAATGGCAGGCCGTCACACGCACGTACGCACCAGCCCACATCTTCCACACGCCAGTTTCCCTCTCCCTCCTCCCCTCCCCATCCCCGCCCGGACCACCAAGCCATAAAAGTCGGGGACCGCTGCCCTAAGCCATCCAACCATGGTTGAAAACCACTCTACTCCGACTGTATTATAGCCGGGAATCCTGGAAAAGGTTACAAAAGGATCTGCTTGGAAGGGCCTCCATGGAGCTAAACGGATCCTCCAGCTGCAGGGGCAGCCCATCTCTTCAGGGATGAGGTCTGGCCGCCTTGTCCGTCTCGGTTTGATCTCCGTTCCCAGAGAGCAACAGGGGATTGGTGAGCCATCCCCACACAGCTTACGGTCTCGGGGTCTTTCAGGTCCAGGCTGGGCAGGGGAGGCATGTTGACCACCGTTTTGCGACGGATCCCACTATAGCAATATGTTGGAGGAGAATTAAGGACCAAGAGACGGGGCAGTGCTGGACGTTTGGTTCCGAAGGGCCGGATGAAAAACTAGGGAGGGGGGAACCTCTTGGGGAACCCCTCCAAGGTCATAAACGGACTTCCCCCACCACTCCCTCCGCTCCCTTTCAGCATCATGGGAAAAAGGATATTTGGATTGCCCGCGTCCACCCAATCTTCTCGCTTTGATGTTGGGAAAGATCTCCCGGATGATCTTGCCAAAATTCGCCGCGCTCAGGGAGCGGCAGCACAGGTTGTCGCAATAGCGCCTGCCAAGAGAGACGAGCGGCAGCCGTGTTTTCTTCCAGGGCAGCAACCGCCGGCATGGCCTAAGCGGCCCAGGACTCTGAACCCTCCAACCCATCTGTGGGGGGAACGCCAGAGGGGTCCTCGTGCCAGAACGGCCAGACTCCCTCCCGTCTCCTCCCCCGGGGAGAGAGGCCACAGATCGCTGCACTACTCACTTGTAAGCATCGTACACGTCTTGTTTTGGCAAGCAGGTGTCGAGATACTCCTCCAGGTGGTTCCGAATCCAGGTACAGGCGTGCATCTGCTCTGCTGAATTGAGAGAAGTGAGGTCCAAACTGGGGAAAGAAAGCAATTGGATCAGAAAGAGAACCAGTACCTTTCCTTTCATCTGTTCCTCCCAGCTTTCTCTCGTCTGTCTGTCTATATTGTATCTATCTTTATCTATCTTTCTATCTAATCTATCTTTAACTATCATCTATCTATCTATCTATCTATCTATCTATCTATCTATCTATCTATCTATCTATCTATCATTATCTATCTATCTATCT